TTTCAAAGTATATAAAAAGCAGAAGTTACATGGATGGTCAAATTTCAGAAAAAAATGCAGAAGGTAACACCAGAGCAACAAGATCAACTGTTCTTTTTGCTTTTGTGTTCACCCCAAGGAAGTTCACATCAGTTCCTTTATTAGAACCTTTCTTCACAAGGATTTCAAATAAGCTCATAACATGAAGTACCAGTAGCAGAGGTCAGAAATCAGAGACGAAACAAAGAGCAGAGCTGGCTGGGCAGGCAGCCCATTGAAGTTTAAGGATAAAAAGCGATATGTCCAACCTACTGATAGTGCTATGAAGTTTGTCTTCAAAATTGCCTCAGGTCCAGAGGCATAAAGGTACCTAACATGATGCCAATCCTCCAGCCAGGAAAGTACGGACAGGACACCTGATGTATGTACTGGATAAGTTGTTAAAAGCTACTGTACAGGAACAGAGGTAGTGAACACAAATATAAACACAATGTATTGATGGAAAAGCGAACATGGCTTCTGTAAAGTCACATCTCATAAATCCATTAGAATATTATTATTAAGTAATCAGTAGGCAATCAGATGCTTGAAAGTCAGTTGATGCAGTCTGTGGATTTGCATTTGACAAGATCTCACACCACAGTCTCTTAACTAACAAACTTAAGTAACAATGGATAGAAGAGAAGACCCACATGGCTCTTTCTAAAGAATTTATTGGAAAATATTAAGCAATGATCAGGAACAAATGGACATTTCCAAAGTCAAGAGGTTTCTAGAGAAATCCTGATGAGATCCCTGCTTGGGCTTGTGCATTTTATCCATTTATGATCTACAACAAGAGAGAAGCATGCAATGGCAACAAATGTAAATGCAGTTCTTTGAGTAAAGATCTTGCAAAACTGAGCTGATGCTCAGCAGGTGAGGAAGTAAAAGATGAAATTCAGTTTCAAGCAATTAAAAATAATTCAGCTTCTGCAAATGGTGAAGCATTACAAAGCATTACAAAAGAAACATCTTGGAATTAAAATAATTATTTCTATGGCAGCATTAATTCATTGCTCCACAGCGCTCCAGAATCCCAAATGCAACTTTATGAATAATCGTAAAAGGAACAGAAAACAGAAACAATGCCTCTAAGACTTAGACATCCTGTGCACTTCTGGTTCTAGTAGCTCAAAATGGCATAGCTGAAATGAAAACAGTACGGAACAACAAAGAAGAATTAAACTCATCCTAGTGCAAGGTACAAGAAAACAGAACAACATTTTATAAGTTTGCAGTAGAAGCAGTTAGGGGGACACAGGAAAACAAAAAAAAAGAACATGACAGCTATATAGAAGTTAGGGAATGAGTATTTACAGACTCTTCCTTTACAAGAATAGAAGTACAAGAAGCTGTTTCATTACAAGACATAAAAGTGAAACTACCGGACTACCAGCAAGGCAAAGGTCATCTCCTCTTGCAGGAAACTCCCTTCTACAGGATGCGGTAGATACTAAAAGTTCAGATGGCTCCAAAACACACCTGAACAAAATGATCAAACTCTGCCTAGAGGTACGCAGCATAAAGGCATTATCTGGGGCATGGGTGCTAGCAGGTTCTAGCGGGTTCTAGACTGACAGATACTAGGAATACTTCTGACAACCTCTCTCCTACGTGCTTATGCTTTTCTTCAACTATCTGCTTTGAGCCACCACTGGAAAAAGCCTCCCAGAGCAGCCTCCTTCATCCATCAGACACTATCATGCCACAGTTCACACTCATGTTCATCATAAAAACACTTATCTGACCAAGAAACATGGAGTAAAACAAGCTGCTGCATCCTTAAAATATTAACCTTGGGCCACAGGTCAACTTGACATCAAGCAATGCTGTCAAACCACATATTACATAAATTACTACTGATCTAGACATTTTTAAGGAAGCCAACTACAATACTAGCAATGTACAGCTTCTGTTAGCAGAAAAATTAAACAACGACATTTCATACCACTATGCACATACACTGACATCAAGCTACGTCCCCTCCATCACATTTGATGAGAAGGACAAAGACAAAACATCAACAAGAAGACTAAGGACTGAACATCGCAAAGAGTTGTCCAGAACAACTTCTTACTTATCTTCCTCTTTTTATCATCTATTAATTTTGTCTAGGCTCCTAAGCTTATTTTTCTATACCAATGAAAATTACGAGACTAAAACACTAAAAAGATTAAATACATCACATATCTAGTTTTAAATAAATTAATCTGTATTAAGAAGTCTGTGTTAAAACCGTTCCAGAAACCACCCATGACAAGTCCTACATTCCCTCCTAAGCGTCCTAAGTGGCTAAGAGGGTAAACTGCATTAAAATGCTCCCTCATTTTCAGATCATCTCCATTACCGCACTTTCTCTCTCAGACGTTAAAAATATAAGTCTCATGGCAGGAAGCTGTTGTCATACGTATGGATGAAACTTAAAGCATAATTTATCACCTTCATACTCAGATTACAGAATATTGGTTTTGCTTGGCGATTAAGATTTGTTTTGTTTTCAGTTCTTTTTTGATCTACTGTGTTTAAATGCCTCCTAGAAAAAAAAAAAAAAGTAGTTATAAAATAAACAAAAATATTTTCCACTACAACTCTGAAATCTAAGACATATTCAGTCAATTATTTTCACTTTCTATTGTGGTAATTGAACACAGAAACACTAAAATAATCGGCAGGAAAAAAGTCAGGGCCAGAATGATACCGTAATATTTCAAGCAAATTCCTACAATATATTATCTGCCATGCTTTCTTCCTTAACAGAAGTAGTCAACGTTAATGTGACTTAATGAAGAATCCTGACAACTTCATCATATTTCTGAATTGAAATGACCTGATTACACTCTCCTTGAAGCTACTATTTACATTTTAATAAAGGACTATCATTACAGTTCTTTAATGGCTCAAAAGCAATCAAATAACTCTGAAAAACAACCTGAGAGCAAAAAATGTTACACTTAGCTATGTAAATTTGACAAGTGCATATAACATGCTCATGAAGCAAAGAACAAACTTCCTGCTCCAAATGGGGTGGAGGGGGGGGAAGGGACAAAACTGCAGTTTTATGAAAAATTTAAGTGTGGTGCAGTTAGCCTTGGACACACTTTTAGAACTGCAAATAACCAAATCCCGACAGCCTTCACCTCCCTACCACACATTTCTGCCATGTCTCCAAAATTCTACAGTTTTGACTAAACATCTGCAACAACCTCACCTTGGGTTTTATCAGTGCCTAAAGCATTATTGTTTCGTAAGAAAGCAATAGAATCCAGAGTTTCTTGGGTAGGTCTTTCACCTTTCACCAAATTCCAGCATACTCAAGAATTGTGTTCACGTTAGTATCTGAACAATTGAAATATTTAATCAAACTTATTATTACACTACTCTTTGATGTCTATCAAACACTCATCAGGCAAGAGAAGTACTGTACATATTGTCTCAAAACACTGTTCATTTTCCAGCACTGAAACTGGAGTAGACTAAACAATTTCATAATGCTTCTTTTCAGAAGATGCAATTGGAGTCAGCAATTTAAATGGTCACAAAAGTATCTTAAAAAAAAAAACGTACATCACCTATTTACACAATCCCTTTTGTACATCCCTTTTTGTATATATCCCTTTTATTTCTCCCCAGTTGACATAAACTAACTTATCATAAAAACAGACTTTATTCATGACTCCTCAAGACAAAGACAGCCTTCTGAAGAAGCTGAGGCATGCACTTTGCAGACTGGGAACAGAGATACATTGAGGCTGTAGTCACTTTGGGACTCTGCACTATTTTGATCAAATGTATACTGTCTTTCTCCTCACTTCCCCCTCCCTTCTCACCACAGATTCGTACCTGCACATCTTCGATCTGCCAGCACTGCTACACACATCACTGCTCCCTGGTTGAAATCTGGAGCACGGGCTAAACTACATTACAGTTACTGTGACCTAATGGCCATGACTGCAGACAGCGATTACGGACAGGCAGGTGAGGGCAACGTCTCAGAGGAAACAAGCAGTTAAGAAGGGAACTCTTTATCACCTAGATATTCCATACACTCTTGACCCATTGGCAAATGATTGAGAAAAATAAAGAGGAAAAAGTAGGGAGAATGACTGATTTCTTGTCTCATTGTTTCTATTCCTTTTGTACTTCAGTGGGAACTGGAACCAGTCTGCTTGCTCCTTACCTAACACCAGCTGTGAAAGTGTTTGCCATTAGAACAACTTATTCTGGTGAACTGTATTGAAGCACTGAACTAAAATATGGCCCCCTCTATAAAAATCTTAATTTCTGTCAAATCTGAAGAGAGAAAAGGGAACAGAGTTCAAATAGTTTACAGAAAAATCTTGCATTACAGAAAGGCAAGAGTAGAAGAAGAATTACATTCAGGATATTCCTCTTTATTTAATCTCCCATTTTTCCAGGGTAGGTGGCTGAATATTACAAAGCAAGGTTGCCACAAGTTAAATGGACTCTATTACCAAACATACTCATAACCATAAACTAAAAAATGAGGATGATAAATTCAGAATAGGCAGCTTCAAGACAGAACTTGAGAGTATGAAGCAAAAACCTCCTAAAAACACAGTTTAAACCTACAATCTTAGCAGTTAGCTTAATATAAACTGCTGCAGAGGATATATTGATGCCATTAAAAAGGATCATTTAACTATTGAAATACCAACTGCAAACCTAGCTTAAGTCCAAGATTCTTCACAAGCACACACAAAAAAATAAGATTACCAGAAGCCCTTCTCACAGTAAAATATTAACTAAAATATTCCCAGAGTTGCTACAAACACAGAAACTTGCTTCCCGGAAACTATCCTATTTGCTTTAAACTACATAAAGAAAATTTAACAATATTTCGCCCTGCTCAGCTACTCACAAATCAAATCTCCATTCTTATCTGCATACAGCCAGCTGGTTTTTAAAATTCTGCCGTAATTGAGGGAAAAACAATTAAGCAATATTATTAACCATCTTACCATTGTTCCCTGGTGGTTGTAATGCATCTCCTGTCAAGCTACACCATCCAACTGGGAAAATATCACGAGAATCACATCTGCACCAATAGTCAAATGCTCCTCTCCAGCCATCAAACGTAACAAAAACTTCGTCTCCTTTAACATCTCCAATGGTTGCTGGGCAAATCAAGTATGGGTTCTTTCTATCTATAGCTTCAAGTTTCATTCCAACTTTAAAGCAGTTTGTTGCAGGTTTGGGTGGTTCCTACAAAAGTAAGATTGGTAGATTATTTGTGTTCGCATGATCCCTTAAAAGCAGATGTCAGAAAACCTCTATTTTTTCTTCAACAGTCTTATTTCTTAGTACTATCAAAAAGTTACAATGGATATTCAAAGAAACTCACTGATGTGTCATATTTGCTTTTCCTTTTGTGTATCATAAAAATCTCAATTCTGTGCCCACAAACACAGTTGGGATAATTAGCAAAATTCCCCATGACAGCAAGGCTGTGCTGAAAGTATTTACATAAGCAATAGGTTGCACCCAATACATCATGACTGGGCAGCAGGACAGCAAAGGCACTAACGTGAAATTATCACATGCTAATAAAGAAGAGAAGGTTTGCAGAGAATGGGTATTTCTGGGGACTGATAAATGTCTGGTAAAAGCTTCATCTCTCAATTAGTCCATGAAAAATTCATTAGCATTGGACATTATTTATAGGCCTCTATTAACTAAGCCTGCCTCAAACCAATTCCAAGTAGACAAAAGAGAAACAAAAATCAAGTCAACAAGAAAAAAAAAAAACAAGCAAAAATGTACCCTCAGTGCAGAGGTGGTGACACAAGGGAGCCTGCATTACCACCTCATCCTTAGGAACTTCAGCCTCCAAAACACAATCATCTCAGTTATGCTGATAGCCTACCACAGGGAAGTCTGATTCAACACACCTCAGAAAACGACATGAAGTTAAACATGTAAGTACCATCGCAGGTCTAAAATGAACTCTCCCTTCCTGACATACATTCAAATGTCATTCACAGTATCAGAAATGAAGCCATTCTCTTTTACAGCACCATAACAAAAAAAATAAAGATGTCATTTTAATATTACTACTGTTTTATATATACTTTTTTGTGTTTCAGTGCAGTTTACTTAATAGTTAAAAAAAACAGGCAGAACAGCTTTTTCTACTGTCAACAACTTTCTCATTAGATTTCAAATGATGAGTAATGCACCCAATTAGAACATTTAACAAAATGTTTCCAAGCACTATTTTATTCCAATTACTCCTTTTCTAAGAAAAAAAAATTTTACTCTTGTGCATAATCACAAGACGAGTATGATGCTTTTAAGAAATGTGAGAAAGGCATCATGTCTTCAATCCATGACACAAAAAGTGTGCTAGCATTTTTCTAAGCAAACTTTAAAAGTCTCAACTCAGAAAAGGAGATACCCATCTAATGGACTAGAAGCAGACCACTTCTTCTCTAGTTTTGTACCTTGCCAATCCATTTCAAAGTAGTTTTAAATAACAGTTGTCTTCTTGTGCTGCAGCCAATAGGCAATATCTTGGCATTCTCACTAAAAAATGCAACCAGAGACTAATGGATATAAGCATATATACTAGCAGTCCTTTTCTCCTTACCTTCTTAAAGAATGCCGCAGGTGCCATTTCAGCTCCATTCAGAGTTCTTAAGAGAAACATTGGCCAAGAAGATGCATTCATCTGGAATCCTAAGTAACAAATAAATTACTTGTGTATAACATCCCTACATTCAGTTTGTAAAACACGAGAGGAAAAAGATATAAAATTGGCTTTACTACTGCCTCAATCCCTCTACTTCGGACTTGGACAAAGTAAAAGTAACCAAGAAGGCCCAAATAGAGGAGCTGTTGGTACAGAAATCTGCACACTGCGTTCCCATTTTCAGTGGTTTGCTTACAGAATCAGTCATTGTTAGTTTGTGATTTGACAGATAAAACATTTAAGACTGTCCAACATATGATTTCTAGCACAGAAGATGACCAGGTCATCCCACACAGTCCCTGCCTCAGTGGAACTTCCCAAGCAGAATGAACTCAGAAATAACTCAGCTTACTTTACAGGGCCACTTCTTATTCTCAAACGACTTCCTCAGCTCCAGATTCCTTCATTTACTGAAGAAAGACTCTTATTTTCAAGGCTGTTTTAAATCTTCCATCAGATTAGATAAGAAGATGACCAATTGGTTTCTTCTCCCCCAACCATTAAAATAAATAAATATTCTTAACAAAGAACACATAACAGTGAAGAAGAAACATATAATGGCTGTAATAGACGTATATATCATATTGACAAATGCAAACTAGATGTTTCTTCTCTAGCATCCTTCATTAAACAAGTGAATAAGAAGTACAAACAGTAATCAGATTTCTTCAGCTGAACTACTTGATACAAGCAGAACAAAGGTTTGGCTGAAAATATTCTCATTCCAGATAATCTTCCTTCACAATCAACTACTTTCCAGTTAAAAAAAAAAAAAAAAAAAAAAAAAAGCATAAAGCAAAACCAAAAATATCCCCTTTTACTCCATCTTTTACAGTTACACACTGGGCACAGTTTTACGGGCAAATAAATATAATAGAGAGAATTGGAAATTTGTCCATAAAGCAATTACTAACAGAATCTGCCAGGAACTGATGAGCTCCCTCACAGCCGAACCATGAGGATTATCTTGGAAGAATGCCACTAGAAAGGTGGAACGTATTCGCAATTCTTGATCAGTTAAATCATTAAGTAATCTAAAATTGAATTACGTGGATTATATTTTTTAATTGTTCTTCAAATTACAGCTTTAAGCTATCTTTATCCGAATAAAAGTTTATGCACTGGAACTACCTACGCAACACCTAAATTAATAAAAAGCTCACAACTGAGAAATGGTGTCATAATTTGAAGACTACTGAGCTGATTATCAGTCTTGGTTTCATACTGGAGTCTTTACACAGTCTAAACACGTGTGATTGCTGAAATACAATATTCCTAGCCAGCTAGCACAGAAAAGACACATACACAAAGAAAGAGGAGTGACAACTAAACAACAGTTTCAATTAACTTCACTTGGCCTATAAATTGTCCTGGTAAAAACACAGTAAGTGTTACCTTTATCATAATTTGCTGAGAACATTAAGTTCTCAAAACCATAAAAGATCACCTATGAAAAACAGAAGACAAAACAGGAACCCTTTCCTACATTAATCATTTTCTAAAAAACCTTATGTAACATACATAATTGAAGCTATGCAAAGATGAGGTAGGAGGGAGTATTTTAACTTGTTATTATGAGAGAAATAGAACATTAGTATCCAGAAGGTTCCCTACCACTCAGGAAAAAAAAATAATAAAATCAGTTGCTTAAATGTCTAACAGGAGGTAATTATACACCCAATTAGCTCCCAGCTTTGCCCAGGAACAGGATGCTGTAAAGCTGCCAAGAAGGCTTTTTCAAAAATTTATCTAGGTATGCCAGAACGCTTCATTGCTGGAATTCTGCCTATCTCCAGAAAAATCTAAGACAGGAGAGAAAAATAATGGCATTTGCATTCTTTTCTGAATAACTGCAATTGTTCTGAGTGCAGGTAAACTTACATTCCTGGATGCAGGGAAACATCTGCTTGTTTGGGGCTGCTCTGCAGGTAGCCTGAGCCAACAGAGTGAGAAACAGTATCCTAAGAGAAGGCATCAACCCTTCAACTGATAATCTCAGAAAGTTTCTCTTCTTAATGGCTCAACTGTCTTCATTACACAAAATCCAGAGTTGTTTCATTCATCAGGCCAGTTTAGAAACACATTTTAAAAAAAAAAAAGCACTGTGGTCTTGAACAAAAGCTATACATCACACATACATGTAGCTGAAAGAATAGATACACTCTTTTCTTTTACAGCCCTTATTCATGCTGGTATCCCTGCATTCATTCTAGAAGGTTCTACCAAAAACTTCAGAGAGGCTAAACAGTCATTTCTCAAAAACAAAATAAAAACAAATCAGAATCTTTTCCCTTCAGTGTCAAGAAATTCAAATGTTTTCATTCAAACCTCTATGTTCACAAGAAAAAGAAAAAAAAAAAAGCCTTTTTGAGCTGAGACTGTAACTATCTCAAATAATATTTTTTGTGGACTGGTGCCCTAGCTGCATTATCTTACGTTTACCTAAAGCAGCACAACAGCACAAAAACATCTACCCTTACAATCTACATGAAGCAACTTACTGGTTAAGTGAACTCTTGGTGTATCAGTCTGCAAGCCAATCAAGTTTTGCACTGCAATGAAATCACACTTTTCACTTTACCTTTCTAACAGAAAATCTGAAATCTGTTAACAGATATGGTGGAAGAGTTTCCTCAGGTCAGTAAGAGAAAGCACAACAACCTTCCCAACCTCAATGACTCTATAATTCTATCAGAGGAAGTTGGAAAAATTTCTTTTCCAAAAGAGCAGTGAGGCAGTGGCACAGGCTGCCCACGGAGGTGGTGGAGTCACCGTCCCTGGAGGCGTTCAAGAAAAGGGTAGATAATACACTGAGTGACATGGTTTGGTGGTATGGTGGTTATGGGTCGATAACAGGACTAGGTAATCTTTAATTAAGATGAAAGTTGGTCATTATTTTTCCCGCTTCTGAAAAGCAGAAGTATTTTCAAACTAATAACAAATATTCATTTTATTTCAAGATTTCTGTACCCAGAAGTGTAAGCTCTACCAAACACAGTAGAAAAATGTAGATCTAAATATACAGATTAATCACAGCAGAGAAAAATGATGCCACAGTTATATTACTCACAGTAGTTGGTCAACATTAATTTTGAGTATTCATTGTGTAGCAAGGAATTCCTTTGTACAGCTCCCTGTTTAATAAACTTCCTCAATTAGTTTTCTCTAAGTTCAAGCATTATTTCTCAGTTTGGGGAGATGTACTGTTGTGGCTCACACTGCTCATGGAAGGCAAAAAAAAATCTGCAGACTATTTCTCAGTGTAGGACAGCTGCATTCTTCTTCATGAGCATTTGTCGTGCTCACAAAGCAATCACAACAAATTGATCAAACATCCCCCTCTTGTGTCAGTTTGAGGAAATAAGAAACACATGCAGTTTGCTACAGCTCTGGAGTGCCTCTTTCCTGATGCAATACTGTTACCTTTCCCAGATCGCAATTTGTTTGGAGCACCCAAAAAAATTGAGTGCTTGATTCAGGTTGTCCTGAACTGTATGCACTTTATGCAGTCCAGCTGAGCACTTCACACTTGGCTTAACAGCAAGTGTCTTCAATGGGCCACTCCGCCTTACTGAAGAAGAAAAAAGGATATTCAGCCTTACCCAAAACTTAGTCCTTATTAAGTTCTACTAAACGGGACATGGACAACAACAAGCAATAAAATATTGCATCCATACACACTCATAAGGTAGGTGTGTATATCAGTGAACAGTTTCAGAATGGGCACGTGACAGCATCTCTCTATTACAAAAGCTGACTGACACTACAGTACTAAGGGACTTCATTAAATAAAAATAACTAAAGCCAAAAAGCAATTATTCTGCTAATTCTTATTTCAAAAGACTCTCCTCATCAAAAAAGAAGGAAAAAGTCACAATCCACTTACCCCAAATTAGTTCACTTACCTCTCCTTTGGCATTAAATAATGCTTTGGTGACTTTAGTACCACTGAATTTGCCAAGACAGAAAGGTAAAATTGACTACACGACAGCTCTGCTCCATAGACATTAATTCAGAAGCTTTGTTTCTTACCAAGTGGAGGCTGCAGCATGCCCCCCTTCTTCTCACAGGTCCCAATGGGCTGTATGTCTGAGGAGTCCACAAGCCTCCAAAAATCATTTTTGTTGTCACTTCCATCGAGTCGCAACCTTAGCCTGGCGCCAGTGATTCCAATTATTGTAGCTATGCAAACCGAGGTAACATTGCGAGGATCACGGGCTTCCAGTTTCATACCAACTTTGAAATCATTTGTAGGTGGAATTCTGGACTACAGTAAGAGATAAAAGACTTTTTGTTATTGTTGTTTGCATTGCTAAACTGCCAGCCATTTCAACATACAGCTTTCATTCATCCAGATATTTCATAGAAGTGGGTAAAGGGTATATAAAGAAGCCTTTGAACTTTCAGCGTTTAGCAGTAAATCAGAAAAATAGATTGGATAACCTCCCAGCAGCATAATTTCAAATATTTGATGCTTCTGCTGCATAAACACAACTGATTTTTTAAAACATAGGCACAACCAGGACAGGTAAGATGGGAATATTGCGAAAATATTAAAACAAAGATGGAGAAGGAATGAATAATACTTGAAGCAAATGGGAAACAAAAACAAGAATATCAGGAAACATGACAACTCTTAAAAATAAACAAAAAAATAAATACCAGAACAGACAATATTTATTAGTTTTTAATTCATAAGAAATACAGAAATACAGAAATAAGAAATATTTTGCAAATTAAAACAAAACTTGGATCCTCTTGCACTAGGCACTATGAAAGTTTCAGGCAAGAATGTTTCTTCACAAAAAAAAGCTTACAGTACAAAGAAAGAAACAGAAAAAGGAATTAGTGTTAAATGCATTTTACAGAAAGGAAACAGACAGTCTACAGTCACGTAAAACTGTGCAAAGATAGGAACTGCAGCTTGAGCTTACTCACAGAGAACTGAGTACATTCATACACACACACACATACACAATGAAATGCCAATTTAATTAACAGGCATCAGATTCTTGGAAAAAGATGCCAGCACAAGGAAGAGATGATGAATGCAATTTGGTTTTTCAGCTGAATTTTTTTGTTACAAATTAGAAGTTAAAAAAGGAGAATATTCTTTAGTGAGCTATTATGAGGAACACAGAAAAGTTCACATGACAACAAGCACTGGCAGAGATCAGCTGGATCACAGTCCAAATGCTTGCCTAATGGAACCCTGTAGGCAATAACATCACCTTACAATGATCACAATCTTGTATCAAGACTAACTGGTAGTATATGACTCACCTTGGCTCTAGCGCGATTCTAGAACAATCTTTTTACTTCCCTGAAGATACCTCCTCACTTTCAGCCCGATTTTATTTGTAGAAACTTTTACCAATACTGTACTTCCAGTTCTCTCTACATCTTTGAAAATATGAAAAAAAATCTGCAGTGTATTTCCATGTGGCAACCTAATCCCTTCTGATCAATCTTTCCTCAAGTTAAACAAGCCAAGCACTGAGGTTTCTCATAGGAAAGGAAGACTGTACTCCTGGAAGCCTGCCTTCTGTACCTCATCTAGGTCAAAGCTGCTCCCAAATGCAGACGCTAAAAACCATATAGGCAGCCTTCCACTTGCCATTTTACCCCAGTAGCTAACATAACCTGAATCCTAACACAGGAGGCAGGCAGAGGGCTCACAAACATGGGCATTCACATCCACAAGACTCAGACATCCCTTTCCACACCTGTCTGGTCAGGCCAGGTAGGAGACTATACTAAGTACACAGGGTGCACCTGTATGCCTGCGTACACAGAAAAGGGCTGAGGAATTTTGCTACCTAAATAAGTATTAGTGATATTTTGCCTCCACAGCACTTAATTTTTAAAAATGCATCTTGCTCTGTCTTTTCTATGGTGTGCAGGTGCAGTGTTCCAAGCAGATCCCAGATCAACAGCAAGAGCCGTGGAGGAGCCAGAGCCCCAAAACCAAGGAGACAAGCAATACTCAGTGAGCACTGAGGGCAGCATCTGCCAATGCTGCATTTAGACAGCAGGCTGTCTTAAGAGGGAGACTGAGCATATTAAATTTAAAGGGCAATTCAATTTCAGGACATTGCTTGTCCAACTGTTATTCTCTACAACCATGAAAGACAACTGAAATTGAAAAATTAGGGAGTTTGTTTATTTTTTTGAAGGAAAGGTGAGCCTGTTTAAGTAGCAACAATTCAAGGCACAGTTCTAAAAGATAACTCCTCCATATCAGTTCTTACCATGTAGCAAAATAACAAAACGAGCTATTTAAGAGCCTTGCTTGAAGCTCTATTCTAACCCAAAGGGGCTGAGCTGTTTTTATTTAAAATTTTCAGCTACTTGAAAAGAAAAGTTTAGGGGTAAGAGAACGAGATGTAGAATGCTTCAAAATTTTAGGAACTAATTAAAAACAACAGAGAGCAACGGATAAAATATTCTAAATTATGAAAAATACTTTAATCAATTCCTATTAGCAGTCTATGCCTGTACCTTAACTTATGGTAAAGACTTTAATCTATTACTTCCCAGGTCATTTTTAATTACTATAAAATGTAAACTTTGTAATATTCGCACAAGTCACAATTTCTGGATATAACTGTCAAATAAAGCTCTCTGCTTGTTTTTTGGCTGGCCACAACAGCATCTTCCCTTCATTACACAGAGTGATAACAACATGTACAATTCATGTGTAACCCAACAGAAGTCAGATTAGTCCTACACACAGCTCAAGCACTTTAGTTTCTAAAATCCTCAAACATTAATTAGCAAGAAGAGCTGGCTCTGCAATAATTAACACTGCATCTCACTTCCTACTTAAAGGTCAAATCCTAGAAGAAGTGTAGTTTCAATATGCAAATTGTTTTGAAATTTGCTATGCACAGACATGAAGGCTCTTCTTTCCAACCCACACACTCCTAACGTAAATCCAAGTCACTCTATCTTAGCCCATGTTATTTAAACACCTTTATTTGGGATGTTATTTTGTTGTATGGTTAAGGCTTCCCAAGCATCATTCACAAAGAAGTCAACAAACAAAAGACACAAGGAAAGGCTTCCGAGCAGCTTTCTGCTACAGCTACATATCTTAAGAGTGTATGCTCTGGTCATCATGGTCTACAAGGTATGAATATGGCACTAACTTAGAATGACCAAGAAACAGACCATTGCCCTGTTCCTACCCAAGCAGGGCTTGGGGTCTCTGCCTTGAGCTGGTATCTACTACGAAAAACACATATTGAAAATGATAAATTATAGGTGATCCAACCAAAAAGAGCTATGGACTTTGCTATTCTTAGCCCTCTCTCATTGAAAGCAGCACAAAAGGAGCATTTTGTCCTTTATCCTCATCTCCTGAAGCGAAAGTTGAAATTCAAGACATAATATGAAGAAATACTACATCTGCTTTCATCTTTCTCTGTTCTTCATTCCTGCAAACAACTTCAGATTTACAGTGTGATGATTCCTCACCTCATATTATTAGTCCAGGTCTTCAGATTATTCCTTTGTTGCTTTTTGCTTGGTTCCCACTAGCCACTATCACAGTGTACTATGAGACTGCCCACAAACCCTAAAAGTTATCTTTTTGGATACTCCAACCTAGTAAACCACGTATACACTGCTTCTCACATATATTATAGTTCTACCAACCTGAACTACCCAATTCCTTCAGCACTCAATACATGGAAGGTGTACCTACTGAAACTCATCCTACATAATTTTTCACAGCTAAGTCAGACACTCCAAATTGGGAATGTATTGGACCCCAGATGCTCCTACAGAGAGAAAAACGCCTTCAGAGGTTGATTCATTCTCCAAAGAGCTGAATAAATGAAGATCACTAGCTCACACAAGATGGTAGATTTAAACTGCATCAGTAAATACATATAAAACCATCAGGCAGGGGGAAATCAAACTTGTAGAGCACAACGTAAAGCAGCATACTAAATACCCTTTGTACAAACTCCTTAATATCTCTCACTGAATGACAAATAATAGTGAATTCTAGTAACTTGAGACTGTAGTTACACATGCATACTCTTCAGTTAACTCAATCTTTTTAATTCCTGTCTTCAAAACACTTAACTTTAGTCACTCTCCATCTTTTGACATAGCAGAAGTACATTAAGTTCAGGGACAAATAGTTTTCTTTATTATAGATCCAATATTTCCTTTATATTCTACCACAGAATGATTTCAGTTGAAGAAACCTTAAAGATCACCTAGTTCCAGCTCTCCTGCCAAGGACAGGGATACATGCCACTAAAATAGGTTGCCCAAAACCCCATGCAGCCTGGCCCTCAACACTTCCAGCAATGGGGCATCAGCACCTCCTCTGGGCTGCCTGTTCCAGTGTCTTACCATCCTCACAAGGAAGTGTTTCCTCCTTATATTCAGTTTAAATCTACTCTCTTTTAGTTTAAAACCATTGTTCCTTCTGCCACTACAAGTCCTGGTAAAAAGTCTTTCCTCTAAATTTTTTTAATGTATTCTTTCAACTCCAGTACCTGTTACCACTATCTATTTTTGAAGCCACTAGAAAACCATAATGTAGTTGCCATCACTGAAATCTGGTGGGCGTGGCCATCAATGACTACCAGCTGTTCAGGAGTTTTTCTGGTTGAGCCACGTGTAGAAGCCATTTTGTTCTTTCTTGCACTCCTTTCCAATCTAGCTGGACCTAGATGGGCTCAAGCAGTGGGCCCTGGAGAACCTCATAAGGTTCAATAAATCCAAGTGTAAGGTCTTTCACCTGAGTCACAGCAACCCCCACTATCAGTGAAAGCTGGAGGACAAAAGCATGGAGCATAGCCCTGCCAAAAAGGACCTGAGGATACTAAGGGATGGCAAGCTGGGCATGAGCCAGCAACGTGCCCTTGTAGACCAGAAAGCCACCCATATCCTGGGCTGCATCAAAAGAAGTGTGGCCAGCAGGGTGAGGGAGGTGATTCTGGGCTGGCGAGACCTCACCTGGAGTACTGCATCCTGATGTAGAGCCCTCAGTACAGGAGAGATGTGAACCTGTTTGACTGTGTCCAGAGAGACACTGAGAGAGCTGGGGCTGTTCAGTCTGGAGAAGAGAAGGCTCTGAGATGACCTGATAGCAGCCTTTCAATATCTAAAGGGGGGCTTCAAGAAGGGGACAGACTTTTTAGCAAGGTCTGCTGTGACAAAACAAGGGGAAGCAGTTTCAAGCTGGAACAGGGGAGATTTAGATTGGATATAAGGTAGAAGGTTTTGTTTTGTTTTGTTTTTACGATAAAGGTATTGAAGCTCTGGAACAGGATGCCCAAACAGCAGGTAAATGTCCTGTCCCTGAAGACATTCAAGCTGGATGAGGCTCTGAGCACACTGATCTAGCTGTAGGTGTTCCTGTTCACTGCAGGAGGGTTGGACCAGATGACCCTTAGGGGACCTTTCCAACTCAAACAATTCTATGATTATACCTTGGTAAAAATCTGAAAGAGCAACGCAACATATTTCACAGAATCATAGAATGATTTTTCACTGAGAGAGTGGTGAGGTGCTGGTACAGACTGCCCAGAAAGGTTATGGGTGCCCCATCCCTGAATGCATTCAAGGTCAGACTGGATGGGGCCCTAGGCAACCTGATCTAGTACATGATCTAGTGACTACCAACTCTGCCTTTGGCAGGGGGAGTTGGAACTTGATGATTCATAGGATCCCTTTAAACTCAATCCATTCTATGATTTGAGTATTTTGGAGATTAAGAAAATAAGTGGTAAATAACTTTTCCAGTATGCACAAAAATATATATACATACATTTTGTACATCTAATACCTAGCCAGAATTGAAAGGACTCCTACAGTTACAGATTGGTGGAAGGCTCCTTTCATTATCAGCCAAATTTTAATTTTCACAGTAATCCTCTAACGTTACTGAAAAAAAAAAAAAACAGAAATTATTTTTGAAGTCCAATGAGACTGTTCTATCTTGTTCTCTTTTAAAGAAAAAGCAAGTCCAAAGATACAGCTTTAATGAAACCCTCAAAATCTGGCTTGAGGCAGAAAACAAAAACAGAAAATTTCAGTTGCTAGTATCTACCAAAAGTTTAAGATACTGATAAACAGAGATCAAAAGAAGTAAAAGTCTGCAAGCAGTCCAAATGTAAAATTTGACATACAATCACCCCATAACAAGTAAACATACACACAGACTTGCAAAATAGTATTTGGCATACCTGTTTGAAACAATGTAGAGGGGCAGCTATTGATTCAGTCTCTTTCAGATAATCATCCCAACTAAACTGTTCTGGAAGACATAAGACAAAGAAAAGGCCATGCGGACATTTTTGAAAGGGAACATAAAATAGGAGGTAAGCTGGGGAAAAAGAGCAAAAAATTCACCCAAATATCTGTAGAATATTTTTGTTTCCCCAAGAACAGCATTACAATAAAATGAAAACTTCATAAAATACACAGCCTTTGAAGTAGATTTAAGAGTCAACAGGGGAATCACACAACAGGAAAATATGTATACCCACAAGTTCTTCTTTTTGTGCTCCACATTTAAATATTTTGTGCTCCACATTTACACATACAAGTCAGGATACCTAGATTCAATTCTCTGCACATCCCTGTAAAAATCACCTCAGGGCTTCTGCAACTTAGTTCCCCATCACTTCAGCAGTGGGAGGAAGAGCAGCACTGGTACAGTAACTTCAAAGGACTAATTTAATAATACACAGTAAAAACCACAGACACTTAGTATCTACTGAAATGTACTTTGAGAATCAGTATCCCCAGTCCACTATAAATCAAAAGAATTAGCATTACATTCCAACAGCACCTTTGTTTCTTTTCATGAGAAGTTTGATAAAGGTTTCCCTTTGTAAGGTAAATACTACAAGATAAAAACTACCATAGCACAACTAATGTTTTTGTCCATAAATCATTTAGACGATCTCCTTTGCTTATTTTTCTGTTTGGGCAGCTGGAATCTATCTGATGTTCCTGTAAAGCAGACCATAAATGAAACCCAAAATAGTGCAACGATGCCACCCAGTGGTTCAATCACCGATAACTACACAGAGCAAAATCTTCACAACGGTGGAGAAATTACATCGTGTCTGCCAGTAAAAACACTACTGGGCAAACACATTTCTGCAACTTTGAGAAACAAAGAAACAAACAGAAAACAGCAGTGTTTTCAGTCACTTGCACACTTCTCAGAGCTTGCCTGCATTAGCACAGCATTTCATTGAAAATTACAGGGCCTCAAGCAGAAGAGAACCATCCTCTTGTCTGCTAAGATCCTTTTTTTTTGGCACAGCAGCCTCAAAAGGGTATGAAGGATTGGTCCTTGACTCTGCAGAGGGCATGCAGTTGTTAACTAAGTAAGAAGTAAAAAAAAATTCAAAAGTTGATAATTCAGCAAACTGAACTGCAGTTAGGCTGGTAACAAAGATGCTTTCATAGGGCACCTCGGAAGCCTGTCTATTTTGTAATAAAAACCTTATTTACACATTTATACACTTGCACTGATTTTGTATTACTCACAAAAGGTATTAATTTAAAAATGCATTAAGATACTTCTATTTTAGGAGGGTATGCTCTGGAAATGGTCCTTCAGAGTTTTCCTAAGAAACCTGCCTCCAGCTCCATTGCTCCTTTCTTTGAAAAGCCATGGAGAACACAAATACGAAAAATAATAATTAACTCCTTTCTAAGTCTCACCTTATAAAAATAGCCTTTGAATCTAAAAATAAAACTGCCACTACCAACTGACTTGTGATTAAAAAAATATTTTTCAAAGTAAACTTTAATGTACTCAGTTCAATAAAATTAACTCAGAGGTCAATTTCACACAGAGGGTGGTGATGCACTGGAACAGGTTGCCCAAGGAGGTTGTGGATGCCCCATCTGTGGAGGCATTCAAGGCCAGGCTGGATGTGATTCTGGGCAGCCTGGTCTGCTGGTTGGCGAACCTGCACATAGCAGGGGGGTTGAAACTAGATGATCATTGTGGTCCTTTTGCAACCCAGGCCATTCTATGATTCTGTGAACCCTACCAAAATGTTAATTATGTTCCAGCTATTTCAGCTGTAACTTGATTCAAAATTGTAATTTTGAACCACAGTGCTGTTGTGGTAGGACCAGGCAATGTAGATACCTCAGAGACAGCACGTTCCAAGAGAGGGACACCATTTACATCCTCAGAAAATACCATATCTCCATTTCCTAAAATGATCTCAGTTGTTATAATAGGACTTAAATTTGGTGGGGTGTCCAGAAAGTACAGAGGAAAACAAATGGATTTACTTTTCAGGGAGTATTTGCTAGAAAGCTACATAAGGTAACACAACACCCAGCTGCACCTAAAACCATAAGGAAAACAAAAATTGCCTTGCTCCTTACTTTAAATGCGGGATATTAAAATCTCTTCCCTCAAGCATAAATGACCTAGTTTACATTAGGACCACTCCATCTGTGAAGATATGCTACAGTAAAACAAATGTCTCAGATACAGAGCTACTTATTTAATTGCTGCAGTCATAGAAAAGAGAAATGAAAGAATGTCACAACATGTAAGATGGTTACCTAGGAAGACAGTAACATGGAAAAAAAAAATCTCTATCCAAAAATCTCTACCCAAAAAGTAAAGAAACGTTTTCTACATATTTCTAATTCTAAAGCCCGCAACTTCTGAGAAATTGAAGAGAAAATTAGTTCACACTGAATGATTTAACATGCATTCTCCTTCCCACTCAACCTGCAGGCTGAATTAAACAGCTTAAGAAAAACTGTCATGCAACACAGACAACTCTTGCAATCCACCAGCAAAGTAAAAATGAGAGAGAAAAAGGAATTTTCATGCTGAAGAACAAATCAGCATATACTGGGAACGAGGAAAAGAAAAAAAGAAAAAAAAATCCAAAGACCTGAAGGTAATCAGGACATTTTGTAAAAAAATTAGGTAGTTTGTAGCCAGCACAGGAGTGGGATTCTAAACAGTGATCCAAGACCATCAGCATGCCCAAACAGCTCATTATTTAACCAAAAAAAAAAAAAAAGAAAAGAAGTTTATGCCATAGTTGCCTACAGTAGCACTGGTTTACAGTCAGCACTCTGTGGGTTAACAGTGCTTGCTGTCTTGCTGTTTTTTTCAATTCTGTGTCAATACCCTAGCCCTTCTGGAGAGGCTTTGCCCATTACAGACTAACTTAAGCTACCAGAAGGGACCCTAGGATGCCTCCAGTTTGGCTGCTCAGAGCAGGTCCCATCACAGCAAGGCTCCTCGGAGGCTTGCTGAGTTCTGAATATCTCTGGGTAACCTCTCTGGGCCCCTCTTCTTGTGTTTGATCACCCTTCATGTGAAGATTTCTTTCCTCACAGGAAGCAGGAATGTCTCACGTTCCCATGAGTGAAGACAAGATGACCTTCCATTGTGTCTCAGAAATGCGTCTGGCTAGATTTTCTTCACAGTCACCTGTCAGGCAGTTGAAATCAGCAAGGTGATCTCCTGTAAGCTTCCTCTTCTTTCAGCTGTGCAAATCATCAGTCTTCTGTTTACACCCTGTGCTTCAGCACTTTCATGCTGTTGGTGGCATCGAGCATGTCAACGTCTTCTTCACACTGGGGAGCTCAAAACTGAACAGGGTACTCCAGACACAGTCTCACAGACACCCAAAAGGAGCCAACTTCTCTCAGCCTGCAGCCACATCTTTGCAACCACGCATGCAGTTCATGTTTACAACCACAAGAGCACACTGCTGGTTCACACTCTGCCTGCAGGCCGGCAGCACTCCCAGGGCATCCCATCTGGTCCTACGAACGTGTGTAAATGCCCAGTTTTTTGGAGTGTACCCTAATTCTATCTTCTTCTACTGCACACACTGCTTTAGCTTAGTTTAAATCAAAGTTTGATAAATTTTAAATTGAAGACTCAAGTGTAACTTGTAAATAAGTAGAGTTCAAGAGTTATTTTTTTTAGTTTAATATAGTATTATCACAGTCTAAATCCTGTTTAAACAGATGAAGCACCTTGTGCCTTCTCATTTCATCCCTATGTTCCCCTGGTATATATCTGAGAATTCTGATCCAGGTATGCATATTTTCTATTCTTCTTCCCACCACCCTTCCTTGACAAAGTTTCCTTTTAATTGTTTTACAACTATTGCAAACATAGCAGGTAAACTGTAAGGTGCTTCATATCCTTCTTTGTACTTTGTACTTCTTTTCTTATGTTGGGATCATTCAGCCAGTTTTTCTACCCTTCCCTTTCCCAACTCACTGCAGACTATTTTTGCTTTTTTTTTTTTCCCTCTTTTTTTGCTCTTCCACGCTGTTTCCCTTTCTCTTCAACTTTTCTATCGTATGCTTTCCTGAAAATTCTGGACATTTGTTGGATGGTATCTTTCTTTATTCCAGTGGCCAGAAGAGGTCTCCTTCTTCTTTCTGGCCACCAACAACAATAACACAGGATAAAAACTATCATCTAATCTATAGTTAATCAGAGATCCTAAGCAAGGCACTCCTCTGTAGGTGTTTGACAGACTTGAGTCCAGATTTCATGAACAAATTCACTGCTCAGATGAAAAGCATAGTCTCGAGTGGAAGAACACAGAGAACAGAACAAGGCTTGCCTGCTTAGCACTATTCCTATCCGAAGTTTTTTCAACATACTGTTCTCTAGTGCAGAAGAAGACAAGGAAGTTTTATAGTGACTCAGAAATACAGTTATCTTAGTCATACAAGAACAGCACTTTGCTGGTGGGGGCTGTCTCATGGGGCTCCATCTGTCATGTCAGACAACATTTTTTAAAACACAGACAAGCCATTTGAGTCCTCCTGTGTAAGCTCCTCTTACACAACTGGAGAGGGGAAGAGAGACACTTTAAGACATGCAAAGAAGGACATTCATAAGAGAGAAGAAAACTACCACTGATATCCTCCCAAGAAATGGAAGAAAGAAGTCTAACAAATGTAACTGTAGAAAGCATTAGTACGGCTTGCAGAAGCAGGATATCACATCTTTATGCAAAAAGACATCGCCTCAACTACCCAGTTATGTTGTTAGGCTCTCACATATTCAAAGATATAGTCCTTGACATAGTCAATTACACAACTTCTCAGGTGGCATGAAGTAAAACCTCTGAACCAGATCATCCACTAAGAGTCAGATGGTATGGGAATGTAAGAAGAGTGAGAGTTTAAGCAAACCCGGTGATACTTTCCTAACAACTAAGGACTCCGAAAGAGATATTCTACTTCAGTCATCAGTACTCATGACATTTCTCACTGCCTCAAACTCAACCAACGCAAGTGCATGAAGAGCATATAAGGATGCTGCTTCTCTCCTACTGCACTTCACGAAAGTGCAATTGCCAACAGTTCCACATATTTCCCAACAGCCCAACGTATATGTCACCCTATGGCACCTACTGAGGACAACAGAGGTTGCATAAGTTTACAAGAAGTTGGCTTGTTGTTGACAACTATGTAGTTTTCTTCGGTTCATTATCAATAACTATTATTTGAAAACAGAATTTATTTAAAGTAAAATTAGAAGCTCAGGCAATTTAATCTAGTTAGCAATATTAAGATCTCAAACTATTAAAATGAAATTCAGCTTTTTTGGCAAAAGCAAGCATTAATGCAAGAGAAGGTAACTGAGGCAAAAGGGGCATTCAACAGGAACATACATCATCAGAAGAACAAGGAAATCAGTAAATGATCTTTAAAAAGTGTTTATATTTACATAGTTTTTTATTACATATATCATGAGTACTTGTCTGAGCTAATAAAACTGTCAAATTCAAACCAAGCAGTTTCAACAGTCATTTGCTACACTAAAACATACTTTGCTAACAGTTAGACAAAAAGCAATTGCATGTTTTTAACTAGACATCAGTTATAGCCAAAGAGATTGAAGGAAAAAACAGTCTCAAGAGACAGACATTCCAAATATATACTTTTCCTTTTAGGGTACCTTAACTAAGAACCTGACAGCTGCAATACCTACCACTTTTTAAAGACGGGTTGTTTGCCTGCTGATTCTTTCCATCTTTCTCTTTTTTAATTTCCTTTGAATCTAAAAGACAAGATTCCATTACTTCATAAATGTAATATTCCCATCATAATAACATACAGCATAACACAGAATACTTTCAAACAATACAGAATCTGTCATTCCAAAGACTTTGTTTTATCTATTTCAGTGGATAATAAAAAAGTATTTGTAATACAAATTTAGTCATCATATTATTTTTCTTTCACAATATACTGAAAAGTACAGCATGAAAAGACGTAGATGTAGGAGGAATAGAGTAAGAATAGTCTTCTTTCATCAGTCCCCAAATCCTCCACCATAGTTCAGTGAGGAGACAAGTTAGGCACTGGGATCCATGCGGGACAGGATGTGGCATTCTCCTGCCAGGTCACAGCACAGTCCATGGACACCCAGGGAAGGCCTGGCAGTCAGGGCTTGTCCTACCACCCCAGCACACAGCAGGCAGCCAGGGACATCAGGGCAGTCCCAGCAATGAGAACCTTCCTGGGGACAGGGATTGACCATGGCATGGCAGAGCTACAGGGTGCTAGAGCCTGCTGCTGTGCATTGCTGGGGAAGCGGTTGGCAGTACCAGGGTGATGTCAGCGTGTGTGCTGGTGGGGAAGAGGACCTAGGTGAGGTTGATCAGGGCCACTCAAGTGTATTAGTGTACTCAGGGGTGAGCCACTTCACAAATATAAAATAGATAAAAGCACCTGACAGGGTCCCAAAGAAAAATCCTTACGGAGGGCTGGACCAGCTGCAGTACCTGTGGATGGTGCCCACAGAGTTCTAACCTAGGTTCTTGTTCAGCAGTGCACACTCTGTGCACTGAAGCTCTGTCCTGAAGCTATCAGTGAGAACCCAAGAAGGGACTCACACCACTCACAAGAAGACATCATCACTGCCTTCTTCCTACAGTTCAATATATATTCTATCCAGTCTTCTTCCTACAGTTCAATATATATTCTATCCAGTCTTTTTGGGATTGAACTGAATCCAGCCAGTTTTCTACTGGGTGGAAGTAATTACTAGAAAAAGCCTTTTGCCATGTTTTACAACTTCTGGTACCCAGGCTTTCAAAAAATAAAAATAAAAAAAAATCATGAGACTGTCAGAGACATCAGGCTGATAGCTTACAGAAGAGAAAGCTTCCCAATGCACTTATTTCTGAAGGGGAAATCCAATGGAGTCCCACATGAGAATACTGAAGAACAGAACTAATAACTGCTTCCTGCAAAGACCAAAACTTGAAAGGACAGTCATGAAAGAACATCTCCCCTACAACGCCAGATTTCAAACAAGATGACAGCCTTTCATGAAAAGAGAAATCAACAACAGGTGAAAGAATGTGAAAAACCATGGCCTGGACACCAGATGAGTTCTCACTGACAACTACCACACAAATTATTTATTTCCTTTATCAGTTTGAGTCACTGCCTATCTCACAGATAGGAACACTGAAATGGAACACTGTCAGGGATACGTTCTTCTTAAAATCATCCATTAAAAAAAACTATAAGAACAAACCAAGATTAAGATGTTAACGAAAAGAAATGGATTCCTTAAATATCTCTTTAATCTTAGCTAGAAGCATCTTTATTTATAATAAACTCAAAGTACCATTGCTATCACTTGGTTTTGATGGACAGAAAGCTATTCTTTAAAACACTCAAGCAAAACATACCTGGTACATGCAGAAGCATCCAAAAAAAAAAGTCTGAATAAATTCAAAATTGTTTTTCAAGGCTTTCCTTGCTTTCATGCATCCCAGCTTTTAATGGTGAGAAGATCACCACAAAGTTGGAGCTATTTTATCTAAGCAGATGAAATACCATTAACTGAAGGAATTGCCATCCTGTTTTTGCTTGAGATACCTGAAATCTACTACCACCCCCCACAACTCAGAAAGATTTCCCTTAGACTATGCATTACTGATGTAAGATGCTGTGGTCTGGTGTGCCTCTTCCAATGTCATTAGTCAGAGTAGAGAAGAATTTATGGCCTATTTTTATAAGAAATATTAAGGAATATAACGTCTATTAATACCTAAATGTATAACTATGAAATAAATGCCTTTAACTGTGCCAACGTACTTAAATCATTTGGAAAACCAAATTATAGAAAATTCAATTTCAAAAGATCATTGAAAACAAAATTAAGACATGGAAGAGTATTATGTCAAATACCTGGATTGAAGAATATGATTCCCTCAGCATATGACCCTCAGTTTGGGTAAACTTTCAGGTCAATCTTCAAAAATGAGGTCGTGAAGGTCCCTAATATTTCTATAGACACAAAGAGCATTTTCTTTTCATCTCCTTCAGCTAACTACATTCAATGATTTATTTCCTTCAAGGCAGAAAAGTGGACTCGAAAATGGGAACTTTATTTGTATGTTAGAGACAGCAGAGACTTATTAGTTCTAGAGTCTTGAAGGTCACGGTGAACAAAGCAAGTCAGTTTAATTCATTATCTATCTTCTCTATTCAGAAAGCCCATTTTCAAAGGACAAGCTAGTTTTTATTTTTCCAGCTTACTTGTGTTTACTTTAGCCTTACAGCATATTTCAGATCATTTTGTCAAAACATAAACAAAAATGAAATGCTGCTATTGTGGATTTAATTATATGCTATTCAGTTTTCTAAAAAAAAAAAAAGAGAGAGAGAGAGAGAAAAGAATGAAATACCACTTTCAACCAAAGTGTTAAACATCCAGTAATATACATATATATATATATAAAAGTATACAAAGAGTTGTTTCATTCACTATGCAAGTGAATGGTAGCATATAACACACGTATACGTAATTCACAGTATATATAGGTAGCTTTTAATACATACAGGCTAAACAGGAATTTTCAAAACCCTGTAAAAGAATGTTCTCATCTTGGTCGCATTCACTAAAATTAAAAAGCAGTATATTCTGTTGTTCACTGAAATAAAAGCTGTTCTACAGCACACATCATAAACTACAGCAGTAGATATGCAACAAGTTTGTAACAGATTATTTAAAACAGTGCTTTCTGCTTACTGATTCAAAACTCCATGTGTTTACATTACTACACCCTATCAGTAACCACAGAATTCTTCTGATGATAAGATTATTCAACAAAAGACAGGCAAGAGTAACCACATCTATCATGCAAAAAAATAGAGAGAAAGAAGAAATCAAAGTTATCTTTACTGGCTTGTAAATGTGGGTTTAAAAAAACAAACAAACAACAATCAGAAAAGGTACCTTTAGAATATAAAGTCTGGTAAAGATGACTCTGGTGGCCAATTTACACTTCCTCTTACAAAATCCTGTGCTGAACACCAGCTTGCTTCTTGATATACTTAACAAATCCAAAACACTTTTTTTTCTGGGAAGAGTTAACCTTACAGCAAACAAGATGACTTTTTGTCTGTACACTAGCAAGCATCATTTGTTTTGCTAGCATTAATGTTTCACCGTTGCATGCTACATGAGGAAGCATGTGTTTGTCATCTATGATCTCCTATTTGCTTGCTGTCCAATGTGGTGAAAAAAGTTCACAGTCATGCTTTCAAGACACGCACAGCTATTTCTTAGCCATCTTAAAGTCTTCAACTCTAGCTTGTGTTCAAAACATCGCAGGAGGCTACTTTTCTAAAAAACATAAAATCCTTTTCCTCTTTCAGATGGACATGAAACACTCCAGTTACAGAAACATTTACTCTGCCTATGCCAAGCAGTTGCTCACCCTCATATGAAGTTTGCTAAAAAAAAACCAAGATTTACCACAGATCAGCAAGCTGCTTTCGCTCCCCAACATAGAGGGGTGTGAGCATATTTTAGCTACCCTTCACCAAACCTCAGTACACACAGCTAAGGTTATCAAGAAAGAGTAAATCTAATATGCCTCCTTCCCTTTCCTTTTGTGCTTCCCCACTGGGATTCTTATCTGCCCAGAACAGAGTGTTTCTTTCAGTACATTTAGAAAACAGTCATGCAGAAAAGCTACAAGAAAAGGGGGCAGACTTCCTCCATAAACTCTCAGTGCAACAATTAAAGAGATGACTGCTGTCATTACAGAAAATCTATTATAGCAAAAGACAATTATTTACCAAGGGAGCACGTGAGCACTGAAAGCAGCTTGGGCAGAAGGTGGAAAGCTCAAGAGAAGTACAGAAGTGTTGGGGATCTTTTATAGCGGAAAGCTACCCATCTGAAAGGTTTGGAAAGCAGCAGCAACCTGGTTTCAAGTGGGCATTCTTGCTTTACGTTCTTTTTGTTTCACCAACCCCAAAACACTTCTTAGCATTCACACATTTTAGCACTCAACTCACAGTAACTTCTGCAGATACGGTACAGCACAAATCACACCTTCATAATACACTGCCCACATCACGGGCAGATTTATTTTAAAAGTGCCCGTTTTATCTTCAGAAGCCTGCAGAAGACAGCAGCTAACACTATTAATTGCAGTAAAAATTTATTCCTTGCACTACTCTGCTGTTCTTATGCTAAATTTTGTGCAGATACAGAATACAACACTACATTGCACTTAATATTGCATGTAGACATGTTCTTCAATTTTAGAGCACTACAGTGACTTCAAGACTGTCACAGGTCAAAATTCTCTCAGTTGAACAGTACAGAACTCCAGGATAACTTGAATTCAGCATACTTACTCTAAAAACATGTAAAGTTTAAACCTACCTGTGTTCAGTATCTCTCCTCTTTAACTTCACAGTATATTAATTGACAAATAATAACCCATCACCTTAGAAGAGATAGTTTAACATGTTCCCTGTTTCCTCTTGGATAAAAGTTATCAGGCCTCACCTTTAGCTGTGGTTCTCCCCATGGTAACACTTGTGTGATCTTCCCTCTCACAATAAAAAGGCTGAAGTTGAAAGACCAGTTAATTCTTCCTTTCAGCACAACAGTTTCCTGTGGAGTAATAATACAACTAGTTAGGGGGAGGTTGTTAGAGTTTGGGTCTTCTTGTTCTGGAAAGGAGGATTTTGTGTGTGTGTGTTGTTTTACAATTATCTTGCCGGTTTAAGGTTGCAAAAGTTTAACAAGCTATTTGTAGAAGAACAGCATGTAAACAATGGCTGTGTCAAAGCAGCAAGGGTACGTAAGAACCCAAACTTGTATTTCATTGGTTTAGGACGTTTGCTGTGTAATGATTTGCATTCGCAGTGAGTTTCTAATACAAAGAAAGGCATAAAACATTCTTTTTTTCTTGTTTTCCCCAACAAACATTACTGAAAACTGGAAGAAAGACTTTAATGCATCACCCACTTACGTGAAGAGAGTTTAACAACCACCACTTTAAAGAGCCCTGGATTAAAAAAAAAACGCTCTTTCTGAACTATAGGGGAAGGAGGAACAAAACATAGATGTAAAAAATCTACACAAAGGCACGACTGCTTGCTGCATCTGCTTGCTGGTCATTACCACTTACAGCAGAGCTGGGAGAAGCCATTAGAGGAAGCTAACTGCAGATCCACACACTTTTGCAGTTTTTCAAAACTATAAGTGAAACCATTTTAACACAGCAAAAACATTTGTGTGTGTTACTGTTCTATTGTTCTACTGTTCTACAGCATCTAGTTTTGGGAATTCTGACTGCATTAAATCCAAGACAAACTCATTCGAAGCTTTTTATCCCCAAAGCAACAAAATCAGTAAGTTTACTTGACATTTTTCAAAATTATAGTGCATAAAAATACGTAGATCGCTCTGAAAGTAATGCCTCCTATTTCCATGGCAACTACAACTGATACCAAAGAGTGCAATAACACTTTTTGATAGAACAAATTCTTAGCTACAAAATACTCTTTTTCAATGGTTTCCCATGAGCTATGCATTGTCACCAGTGATGAACAACAGCCCGCATGCTGTGCGCATAAAAATCTGCACCAGTGGAGGTGGCCCGCTGTCGCCGCTGCTGAAACACACCACCCACTGCCTCACTGTGCTCACATCCACTGGTTGGTCTCCATCAACGTTCAGCAAGCGTCAACAAATGTTAATAGGTGCCATTTTTTCTGCATGGAGGAATTCAATCACACACCTGTGCTCCACACGTACTTCCATGTCAGACGCCATCTTGTCTCGGCCGCCATCTGTCACACAGCAACAACGTCTATCGGCGCATTGGCGGGAAGGTTCAAACTCCACTGCCATACCACCAACATCCACCTTCGATGTCACAGGCCGACATCATACAACATGAGGCATTACTTTCAGAGCAGACCTTGTACATTCACGTTTCTGAATTCCCTTCTTTGACCACTTCCTTTCAAGGAAATTCCATGAGGTCAGAGTTTATAACATCAACACTTCGAGATTTATTTTTTTTTTTTTTCTAATTTAAGTAAGTCAGCACTTTTTCAAAGATGAATTTTGTCAAGAAGTGACATGTTTAGCAACCATATCTTTCTAGAGCCGTTAAAAAAAAAAAAAAGAACAATAGTTGAAAAGCAAGATATCTACCTGGAATTTCTCGAATCTTATACTCACATATTGAAAAAAGAAGGATACCAATACTGCATAAAGTAAGAGGTGTGTCATACAGACAATTATATTCCTGGAAATGGTGAAATTTCAGTGAAATTCTGAGGAACTTGTACACTATGGTGGTAGACTCTATGATGAAAACTTCACACAGGGCAGGTTGTGCCGCTAAAAATAAGTATGATTTTTGAAAGTCTAATGACTGAAGAACGTGTTTCATGTGTACACAAACGTGCTGGATATTCATTACAAAAACTCAAGGAACTGAGACTTGAAAGCAGTTATAAATAAAACCGAGCACTGACATAAAGTAAGCTGGTTTTGCTACACAATGGCTCTCACGGCGTAAGCGATCATCAGGATTAAAAACAGAAATCCTTTTAAGCCATCAAATAAATTTGAAATACTTGATGCTTTCGTAGACTCCCCCAAAAATTCAAAGCTTTTCCGCCGTGAGTAATAAATTGCGAAAGGTGATACGGAGTCAAAGTAACTGTTTTTACAGATTACTTTAAAACAGCGCATGGTTTTTATCTTTTTGTTCCAAGCACCAGATTGCACTTGGTGCAGTAATAAAGATTCCAAGCCTGCAGTGATAGTCATCAAGTTTAGCACAACTGGAGTGTCTGTCAGGACATAAAAAGGATTCCAGCGTTTCATTAGCCCCTGCTCCAGCAGATAGGCAGTTTTACAGCATGCCCACCAGCCTGTTAAAAATACAAGGCAACAGAAAGCTCTGAGAGTGTGGGCTGAACTATGGGTATTACTGTGTGGAATAGGTGCTGCTTAAATCCTAATCACACCTACAGCATTCAACTTACAGTCTCTATTATAGTAATTGGTAGGCAGAGACACTGGTCACAGAAGACATTCAAAAACGGTGTTTCTGAGTCTCTAACAACTGCTGAACAGTAGCCAAAAGAAAACCAGCTACCTCCAAAACAGTAGGGTCAATCTGAAAAGAAGGATGAGCTTCTTCACTGGGGCAGTCTGAGGAACAGCCTGACACTACCTTGAGTGAGTGATAATGCAGCCAACAGCGAGCAGTCACCTCCTCTGCTGCCAAGGTGGGCCTCAGCCCTTACCAGCAAAGTGGACATGGTGTGATGGGCTGGTGGTTGGACTAGATGATCTTAAAGATCATTTCCAACCTTAATGGAAAGCTGAGGTTAAGAAATTAAAATAGTAGCTTCAAGAAGAAAAAAAAAAAGCATGAAAACTAAAATCATCATAAAAATATAGAGAAGATCTCCATATTTATATTGATCAACTGTATCATTTACACCATTTATTTCTCAATTCATCCTGTAAGCTGAGTTTTATTCTTTCTCTGATTAACTTCCCTAGCATCAGCTACTTTAAAAAAACAACCAAGCAAGCAAAAAACTGAAACCAAACCAACAAGAACAGGTGGAAAGCATTCACCTCCCTTTAATTACTGCAGCGTTTATGCTAATAGCCACGTCTCTGCCAGCAGCCAGCTCCCCCTGCACCAGCCCTTTGTCAGTGGGACGCGCACAGTCAGATGAACCTCAGCCTTCACCCTCCCTGCGTTGCTACTGCACAGAGCTGGGGGTCATCCTGTTTGCTGGGAAACATTTTTGTGTCTCACATTGCTCTTCTAATTTTGAAAGAATTACTCTAAGGACACACATTGCTGCATTTCTAAGAAGCCGGTATTTTGCAGAAGACATCAAATTGTTCTGTTTTCTCTAGACCACATCTCCATTATCTTTTCAGGCATTCGAGCGAGCTGAATGTCCTGAAAAAAAAGCCATGCATATTTAGGGCTTCCTTGCGCAGGTTTATCTTGACAGCACGCCTGCTCATAAAAAGCACACAGTGTGGGATTATGGAGATAAAGGGAACATTTGAAAGCAGCCTGAGCGCCCAGCGGATTGCGAGCTTAGCATCACCAAACGAGTTACGGTGCTTCTGTCAGGGACCGCGCAGCTCGGACCAGAGATAAGACAGAGACAGTGATCTCTGAGGCAAGCGGGGTCCAAACAGCAGGATTGTGCAAGGGCAAAGCAGGACTGCAGTTCTGGCTCCTCACGAGGAGCTGCACTCCTTCACAATTACTGTTTCTGAACCGGGAATATTTTATTTCACCTACTCCTCTATTCACCTGTCATCTCTTAAACACAAGTACTGCTTCACACCATGTGCACAAGTCCCAGAGGCTCTGCAAACAGTCAAATAAACAGAATAAGGCTACAAAGTGTACTGCTGTAACATTCAATACTTCCAAGTCTCCTGGAAGATTTCTTTCCAGGCAAGCTGCCCAGTGCACAGCCTCACATACACTCAAGACTCAACAGCATACACCTCTGCATTTCTGCAACGGGAGCCATCCATAAATACTTTCAGGAACACACACTGTGGCACCATGATAGAAAAACAACATCTCAAAAGACAAAAGGAAAAACAACCTTACACTGGCACAAATGCACACCACATGATTACAAAACACAAGCTCTGCAGCTGTAAATCAGTGAGACTTGGCATC